GGAGGCGGGGCTCCGGGATGCGGCGGGCGCGAGCACCAATTGGACGCCTCCCATCGACCCTCACTGCCACGTTAGTGACGGAGCCGCCGTGCTCGAAGGCGATGGGCGGCGTGTCGCTCCACCCGCCTGGAGGAGGACAGTCAGCGTTCAGAGGAGGGTCATTACTGAGTAACACGTATATGATAAATACAAAATACATTTTATATAGTAACATTTTTGTGGAGATTTTCTTCTTAAATCTGTAGAAAACAGTTTGTACACGACATCTTTGCAGCATCACAATGTTCAATATATAAATTTTGCATAACATTGCGTCACCTCAAAACACGGTTACATTTTGAGGATTTTTTTTTTTTTATGAAAAGTCAAAATTTGGTAAAAAAAAATCTAATTCTAAAATCAAGTCTATGAAATGTCAAAGTCTGAAGCTCTAAAATGGTACAATTACAAGAAAAAAGAAAACAGCAAAACAACTGAGAGACAAAACTGTATCCTGTCAAATATCAAAGGTTCTGACTTTTTCTCAAAATCTCATATTCTGACTTTTTTTCCAAAATATGACTTTTTCTCAAAAATAGGACTTTCTCAAAAATCTCAAATATGACTTTTTCTCAAAATTATGACTTTTTTCTCAAAAATAGGATTTTTTCTCAAAAATAGGATTTTTTCTCAAAAATAGGACTTTTTCTCAAAAATAGGATTTTTTCTCAAAAATATGACTTTTTCTCAAAATTATGACTTTTTTCTCAAAAATAGGACTTTTTCTCAAAAATAGGACTTTCTCAAAAATCTCAAATATGACTTTTTCTCAAAATTATGACTTTTTTCTCAAAAATAGGATTTTTTCTCAAAATTATGACTTTTCTCAAAAATAGGACTTTTTCTCAAAAATAGGACTTTCTCAAAAATCTCAAATATGACTTTTTTTCAAAATTATGACTTTTTCTCAAAAATCTCAAAATTATGACTTTTTCTCAAAAATCTCAAAATTATGACTTTTTCTCAAAAATCTCAAAGTTATGACTTTTTCTCAAAATCTCAAAGTTATGACTTTTTCTCAAAAATCTCAAAAGTTATGACTTTTTCTCAAAAATCTCAAAGTTATGACTTTTTCTCAAAAATCTCAAAGTTATGACTTTTTCTCAAAAATCTCAAAATTATGAGTTCAAAGTCTGAAGCTCTAAAATTGTACAATTACAACAACAAAAAGAAAACAGCAAAACAACTGAGAGACAAAACTGCATCCTGTAAAATATCAATTATTGTTCCTCACCTGCCAGGTCCAGTCTGGCCGGACACTCCACTTCCTGCCACTCCCCGAGGGGCGGGGCTTCCCCCTGGCCAATGGAGATGAACCTCTGCGATGACATCACGGCGCGGCGCAGCAGCACCTGTCCGGCGCCCTCGTAGTGACGAGCGGCCCGAACCAGGAGGTCCGGTCTGAGCAGATATTACAAATCAATAAATAAATAATATATGTAAGAAGAAAATAAGTGCCGGTCAAATGTGTGAAAATGAGTCCATCAAGGCGTGTTTTGAAACACATGTATATTCTTTACTTTTTTAATGCTACTATTTTTATTTGAGAGGTTTACATTTTGGATTGTTTATTTCTAGTCTTTTAATTTCTCTATTGTCTTTTTATGCTGCTGCAACGCAAACATTTCACAGCTTGGGATCAATAAAGTACTTCTGATCTGATCTTAATGTACCTCACCTGCTCAGCCAATGATCTCTCTGCGCTGCCAGTGCTTTGACCCCGCCCCTCAGGTCCCCCTCCTCCAATAGGGAGTAGGCGTGGCTCCAGGCCTCGTTGGCTGCAGGTCCGCTCCTCAGGCCCCCCCGCCCCCCCGCCATGATCACCAACACATCAGCGATACATGAGAGGCATCGAGCCCCCACGCCAAGCCCCGCCCACAACGTTGACTCCGCCCCCAACGCTGCACCTGACTCCGTCCCCAACCCTGGCTCCGCCCCCTGGTCACTGCTGCCTGCTGCAACTGAGAAGAAGAAAAACAGGAAGTAAGGTAAGGCACGTTTATTTATAAAGCACATTTTCAGACACATGTTGTGATCATGTTTCCCCTCAATATATATGTGCTATATGTGACATGTATGTGGTCATGCGTGCATTTTCGGATGTATAAACTGTCTAATTGTTGAAATAAATTAAATAAATACAAAATGAAAGTTAAAAGTTATCATTATGATTATTCTAACTCACTGCTGTCCAGGGTCTGCAGCAGCGCCCCCTGCTGGCCGCCCTGCACCGCGGCCCTGAAGCAAGGCAGCAGGCAGACGTGGCTCCTCCCCCTCAGCTCCTCCCTCACCCTCCTCCTCCCCCCCAGGAACAGAAGCTCCTCCCTCCAGCGTAGCTCCGCCTCCTGACAGGTGAGTGACAGCACCTCCTTCAGAGAGAGCCTCCATGCCTCCCTCCACCTCAGAATCAGAAACAGGTTTATCACCAGGTGGGTCGACACGTACGAGGAGTTTGACTTGGTGTCGTGGTGCAGACATCAAAGTAAAACAAGAATTAAAAACACAGATAGAGAATGTTAGAAAAATCTCCCTCATCACCGGCTTGAGCTTCAATATCAAGATCCATGTATTTATTATCCTCTAAAGAATGGAAGTACAAATATGAGAATTTTTCTCAAAAATCTCAAAATTATGTATTTTCTCAAAAATCTCACAATTATGACATTTTCTCAAAAATATGACATTTTCTCAAAAATATGACATTTTCTCAAAATTCTAATTTTTTTCTCAAAATTCTAATTTTTTATAAAAATTCTGACTTTTTGTCAAAATTCGAAAAATTATAATTTTTTGTCAAAATTCGAAAAATTATAACTTTTTGTCAAAATTCGAAAAATTATAACTTTTTGTCAAAATTCGAAAAATTATAACTTTTTGTCAAAATTTGAATTTTTTTTGACTTTTTGTCAAAATTCGAAACATTCGGTGTGAACGCGATTTACTAGGACAGTTCCAGGGACTAACGAGTTTGGCGGGACTAAGTACTGGGAACTAAGTACGGCAAAGTACTTGGTGTGAAAGCGGCTTATCATGTTACCCTCATATTGGAAGAGGACATTTGCCGCGTTCACACCGGAGTACTTTTCACCGTACTTTTCGCGTTTAGTTCCGTTAGTACCCCTTATGTCGCGTTCACACCAAAAAGAGCACTTCATCTCGGGAACTTTTCCCCCCATTTGTAGTGCCTGCTGAGAGATCGTACTTTCCTGGGGGAAAAAAGTGCCCCAGTTCTGATTGGCTGGGCGAATTGCAAACCACGCCCCGTACAACTCTGAAATGTTTTGTAGAGTCGCCATTTTATTATCCTCGCATTAGCATTATTAGCATTAGCATTCGCCCAGCGCACAAACGCAGAGAGACTAACTCATGGCAACACAAAACAAAACATGGGAGCGGTGGAGATGAGGAGGTGTCGGCGTTCTGGCGATTTCCTCTGAAGGCTTCAGTAGAAGCTGCTTCAGCTACTGAAGCCTTCCCCAACTCCGGGGACTTCGGGTGGCAGTATACGCCGTGAAGTGGTTTGCGGCCTGCCAGTAAACCCAAAGCAGAAGAAGACGAAGTGACGTCAGCGGCTCATTTGCGTAATCTTCCCTCAGGGAAAAGTACTCCGGTGTGAACGCGATCTGTACTAAATGCCCTGGGGTAATAAGTGCCAGGGCACTGAGTGCCGGCACTAAATACGGCAAAGTACTTGGTGTGAACGCGCCTATTCACTATTTTCCAAACAGAGAACTAGAAAAGTAGTAAAAATATAGTAAAATATAACAGGATATACATACCTCCCCAGGCCTCCCCCGGCCCCCCCCATCAGCCAGCACACGCCCCCCTCCTCCCCCACTGCCCCTCCCCGGGGGGAGAGGACTGGGAAGAGCCGCGCCTCCATCAGGCAGCGACGCCCCCCCCGCACCCACAACTCCTCCGGCCTGAGAAGAGGAGAAATACAATGTACACACACACACACACACACACACACACACACACACACACACACACACACACACACACACACACACACAACACACACACACACACACCACCACACACACACACACACACACACACCACACACACACACACACACACACACACACACACACAACACACACACACACACACACACACACACCACACACACACACCCACACACCACACACACACACACACATTAATTGCTTTTTTATTTCTAGAATGATTGATGATTATTAAATATAATACTTGATTAAATAAAGTCGTACTGGATTCCTGTTCGGCTGAAGAAGAAACTCCAACTCTGGTTCAGGAAGGAGGAGGTGCTGTCATCAAAGGAGACCTGAGGAGGAGGAGGAGGAGGAGGAAGAGGGAGAGGAGGTATTTCCCATGACTTGTATTCAGTGTTTGTGAGATGCGGGCTGGGCAACAGGTCTCCACGGTCAGTGCGTCTGTTTGTTCAAACGGTGCACGAGTGATGATATGTGAATGCATTTGAATGTTTATTGTGTTTGTATATGTACATGTATGCTGCAGGAGGGAGTCCAGAACAAATGTCCTTACGGGGACATTAAATTATATCGTATCGTATCGTATCTACAATTAGTCAAATACGAATAAAGACATTTAAAGAATAAAGTGCCAAACATGAGTTAAACATTTCCTTCACCCTGGAATATTACAGATTATAAATACAAAATTATAAGTAAACATATTTTATTATTATTTCTGTTTGAATCTAAAAATCGTCGGTGTTTAAAAATGCAGTTTTTTAAATATTTTGTGTGACTTTGTTTGTTTGTTTGTGTGTTTTCTGTAAATACCAATAAACACAGGTTAGAGTTAGAATACTTTAATAATACCGGGCGGAACGTTTTTCGTGACGGTCGTTCAATTTTAAAATGAAATAAAACACAAGATAAATAAAATAAAATATGACATAAACAAAAGAAGTAAGACTGAAATAAAAAGACGTAATAAGAAATATAAACATAATAATTTAAGTGAAACGTGACACTAAAGTTCATTATTAACTCAAATTAAAATATGATAAAATATGAAAGCTATATATTTAACATGAATAGCCTTTCTCACCTCCAGCTGGTCGAGCGCGCCCGTCACCGTGAACACGTTCAGCCTCAGCTCCCCCAGCTCCATACGATGTCCCTGGATAATGATGTCATCCACCAGCTGCCTGATACACCGTGATGTCATCAGATCGAGACCCGACAGCAAACAGCCCGACGGGACCACCAGAGGACCCTAAAGGGGCGGGGGGGGGGGGGATATTTTTCCAGATTTTGCCCAAATTACACTTTTTTAAGTATTTGCCTTGTTCTCAGAGTTTTCCCTTTCTGATCTAAAAGCTGACCTGCAGGTGGCAGTGTTGCACCACCGCTCCCGTCGCCACGGTAACGTCTCCCTCCAGCACGCTGTTGATGACCCGCCCTCCGTCGCCCACCAGACTCTCTCTCTGAGGACAGGAAGCAGGGAGAAGTGAGGAACTGATTGGTTGGACTGATTGGTAAACAACGCTGAGGAACAGGAAGTGTCACCTCGATGTGAGACAGCGTGTTTTTGTTCGTCCAATCACGGCTCAGACGCTCCACATGGCCTCGTCCAGACAGAGTCAGGTAGTCATAGCGACCGCCGGGGACGTAAACTGAAGAAGAAGAAGAAATGTTTTTCAAAATAAACTCCTTAATATCAACGTGAAGTCATGTGACCGTGCTGTAGTTCCTTTATAGCCCAACATTAGCCGCCTTTAGCTTAGCGGTGGTGACGTGAAGTCATGTGACCGTGCTGTAGTTCCTTTATAGCCCAACATTAGCCACCTTTAGCTTAGCGGTGGTGACATGAAGTCATGTGACCGTGCTGTAGTTCCTTTATAGCCCAACATTAGCTACCTTTAGCTTAGCGGTGGTGACGTGAAGTCATGTGACCGTGCTGTAGTTCCTTTAGAGCCCAACATTAGCCACCTTTAGCTTAGCGGTGGTGACGTGTAGTCATGTGACCGTGCTGTAGTTCCTTTATAGCCCAACATTAGCCACCTTTAGCTTAGCGGTGGTGACGTGAAGTCATGTGACCGTGCTGTAGTTCCTGTATAGCCCAACATTAGCCACCTTTAGCTTAGCGGTGGTGACGTGAAGTCATGTGACCGTGCTGTAGTTCCTTTATAGCCCAACATTAGCCACCTTTAGCTTAGCGGTGGTGACGTGAAGTCATGTGACCGTGCTGTAGTTCCTTTAGAGCCCAACATTAGCCACCTTTAGCTTAGCGGTGGTGACGTGTAGTCATGTGACCGTGCTGTAGTTCCTTTATAGCCCAACATTAGCCACCTTTAGCTTAGCGGTGGTGACGTGAAGTCATGTGACCGTGCTGTAGTTCCTGTATAGCCCAACATTAGCCACCTTTAGCTTAGCGGTGGTGACGTGAAGTCATGTGACCGTGCTGTAGTTCCTTTATAGCCCAACATTAGCCACCTTTAGCTTAGCGGTGGTGACGTGAAGTCATGTGACCGTGATGTAGTTCCTTTATAGCCCAACATTAGCCACCTTTAGCTTAGCGGTGGTGACGTGAAGTCATGTGACCGTGCTGTAGTTCCTCTATAGCCCAACATTAGCCACCTTTAGCTTAGCGGTGGTGACGTGAAGTCATGTGACCGTGCTGTAGTTCCTTTATAGCCCAACATTAGCCACCTTTAGCTTAGCGGTGGTGACGTGAAGTCATGTGACCGTGCTGTAGTTCCTCTATAGCCCAACATTAGCCACCTTTAGCTTAGCGGTGGTGACGTGAAGTCATGTGACCGTGCTGTAGTTCCTTTATAGCCCAACATTAGCCACCTTTAGCTTAGCGGTGGTGACGTGAAGTCATGTGACCGTGCTGTAGTTCCTTTATAGCCCAACATTAGCCACCTTTAGCTTAGCGGTGGTGACGTGAAGTCATGTGACCGTGCTGTAGTTCCTTTATAGCCCAACATTAGCCACCTTTAGCTTAGCGGTGGTGACGTGAAGTCATGTGACCGTGCTGTAGTTCCTTTATAGCCCAACATTAGCCACCTTTAGCTTAGCGGTGGTGACGTGAAGTCATGTGACCGTGCTGTAGTGCCTTTATAGCCCAACATTAGCTTTTTACCTCAGAAATCTCAAAGTGTTAACATGTGGAGATTTTCCTGCTGAACTAAACGTTTGTTTGACACAGAGATTATTTTCTGACAGAATCAAAAATCTCATGGAGGAATCCCATTGGTCCAGAGAGATGATGTCACTAACCCAGACTGAGCGCTTCTCCTCTCAGGATCCTCCACAGCTCCGCCCTGCCGCTCCTCACCAGCGCCCCCTGTGGGCCAACAGCTGAACTGCAGCCGGGCCGATCCTCGTTCACAAACTGATCCTGAGTCAGATCTGAGCAGAGACAGCGCAACACATCCAGGAACAAGGAGATCTGAGGAGGAAGAAATATAAATAATAATGCATTAATATACATATATATATATATATATATACACACACTGTATATATAAAGTGTCTGTTCTCACCTGGAGGGGCGGGGCTCCAGAGTCCAGGCCCAGGTAGGTGCAACCGTCCAGGGGGGGGGAGACGTGGCTCTGCAGCAGCTTCTCTGACACCGAGCGGCTGAAGAACACCGGACCAGAGACCTGGAGAAACACAGAACACACCTGAACACCTGTAGAACACCTGGAGAACACCTGGAGAACATCTGGAGAAACACAGAACACACCTGAACACCTGCAGAACACATCATGACTTTTTCTCAAATTTTGACTGATTTTTCCTCACATTTGGACTTTTTCCTCACATTTTGACTTTTTTCTCACATTTTGACTTTTTCTCATATTTTGACTTCTTTTTTCTCATATTTTGACTTTTTTCTCACATTTGGACTTTTTCTCACATTTTGACTTCTTTTTTCTCATATTTTGACTTTTTTCTCACATTTGGACTTTTTCTCACATTTGGACTTTTTTCTCACATTTGGACTTTTTTTCTCAGAATTGTGACTTTCTCAGAATTTGATCCATCCCAAAAACAAAATCCTTATTTCTTACAATTTGGACCTTTTTTCAGAATTCTGACTTTTTCCTCAGAATTTTTAAACCAATCCCAACAGAGCCGGCCAGCTAACCAATCAGAGCAGACTGGGCTCTGGTTTCAGACAGAGGGTGAAAAGAGGTGCTGCAGCACATTAAAGCATGGAGACATGTAATGAGAAGGTGTGTTTGATTTACTGCACAGGACGCACCAGCGGCACTTTCCCATCATGCATCACTGCCTGCTGAATCTGCTCCTCCGTCCCCCTGTAGACGATGTCCGTCACCTGACCCTGTGGGGCGAAACAAGCGCACCTTCAGAGGAAATTCACTCTGTAGACGTGAATCACACAAAACACACAGTGAGGTGAATCTGAGGGGAAGGCTCACCTGAGCGTCCGACAGGTAGACGCCGTGATCGGCTGCGTACGAGACGTCGCCCGGTAACGCCAAAACACGGACGCCGGAAAAACCTTCCCACGACAAAACTGCAAACACAACAGAAAAATTACAAATACAAACATGATATATTTTCATTTTTATGGTTTAAAAGGCGTGTTTAACAGCTGGCAGGTAAGAGGCCCTGTTCTTCTTCTTCTGTGGTGTTCTGTAGGGTTAGTGAATGGGCTGCAAAGGAGAACAAAGCCCAACGTTCCGGAACATGATGACATCACTGCAGTGACTTTCAAACCCAATCTCTACTTCAGCCGCTGAGGGGTGGGAGTAGTTATATTCATACTCTCTAGTTTCCACAGATCTCTCCTCTCTCCTCTCTCCTCCTCTCCTCTCTCCTCTTTCCACTCTCCTCTCTCCTCTCTCCTCTCTCCTCTCTCCTCTCTCCTCTCTCCTCTCTCCTCTCTCCTCTCTCCTCTCTCCTCTTTCCTCTCTCCTCTCTCCTCTTTCCTCTCTCCTCTTTCCTCTTTCCTCTCTCCTCTCTCCTCTCTCCTCTCTCCTCTTCCTCTTTCCTCTTTCCTCTTCCATCTTTTCCTCTTTCCTCTCTCCTCTTTCCTCTTTCCTGCTCCTCTCCTCCTCTCCTCTCTCCCCTTCTCTCCTCTCTCCTCTCTCCTCTCTCCTCTTTCCCCTCTCTCCTCTCTCCTCTCTCCTCTCTCCTCTCTCCTCTCTCCTCTTTCCTCTCTCCTCTTTTCCTCTTTCCTCTCTCCTCTCTCCTCTCTCCTCTCCTCTTTCCTCTCTCCTCTCACCCAGGTCCTGTGGGAGGTGCAGGATGGCGTCGGTGCTGCAGACCCAGACTCCGGGGGGGGACCCGGGGCAGACCTGCTCTCTGAGGAGCACCAGAACCAGGTCCAGAACACACAGAGGAGCCTGGACCGGGCCCGGGGCCTCGGCCGGGAGCCAATCAAACGCTCTGCTGCAGGAGCTCCACGGGAAGTCCCTGCCCTAAAGGAGAGGGGGGGGGGGGGGGGGGGGGGGGTCATTTGAAAAAATAAATAATTCTTTGTTCTTGTTTATTTTTTCTTTGTAGTGTTTCTGTTTCTGATTTTATGTCTTTGAGCACAAAATAAAATGTATTATTATTGTTATCTGTAATAACAACGTGTGTGTGTGTGTGTGTGTGTGTGTGTGTGTGTGTGTGTGTGTGTGTGTGTTTGTGTATCGGTGTGTGAGTGTGTGTGTATGTATGTGTGTGAGTGTGTGTGTTTACTCACTGTATGGAGGATGAGGATGTGAGCATCATCCAGGACGTCGGCCGTCACCACCTGATGAAGAAGAGGAAGTTCATTTTCTGACGTGTGACATAAATACATTGGTGTGTGTGTGTGTGTGTGTGTGTGTGTGTGTGTGTGTGTGTCTGCTCACAGTGTGTCCCGCTCTGCTGCTCAGGTGTTCAGCAGCGACCAGCAGAGCGTTCAGCGTCGCCCCCCCCGCTGCCCAGCGGCTCCTGGCGGTCCCTCACCGTCAAAACCAACGAACCCGGAGAGAGAGAGCCGCGCTGCTGCCTCAACTCCAGCTCTGACACACACACACACACACACACACACACACACACACACACACACACACACACACACACACACACACACACACACACACACACACACACACACACACACACACACACACACACACACACACACACACACACACACACACACACACACACACACACACACACACACACACACACACACACACACACACACACACACACACACACACATATTGATATGAAACATTAAATCCATCCAAATTGTACATTTCAAATATATATTTTTTATCTAATAATTTTAATAAAACATTTAAGTTATCTAAAATAAAAGTAAGTTCAGTTTGGTTTTACTGTCAAAAAAGTGTTTTTATTTGATTAAATATTCATAGAAAAGTATGAAAAAATATATTGTCGATTTAATATTTACGTTTAGTTTGTTTCAATGGCTAAAAAATAAACATTGTACACAAATACATTTAAATTAAATATAACATGAATTTGAGTCCATCCGCGCCCCCTTCAGGCCGGTTGGCGTAACTGCATATCATTACACAAAGATCGTATGAATAACAAGATAATAATCCACGCCACTTTGGACTGGAGGGAGGACACCACTCAAAGAGTATATACAGAGCAAGATGATTCTCTCCTCTCTGGAGGGAGGACACCACTCGAAGAGTATATACAGAGCAAGATGATTCTCTCCTCTCTGGACGGAGGACACCACTCAAAGAGTATATACAGAGCAAGATGATTCTCTCCTCTCTGGACGGAGGACACCACTCAAAGAGTATATACAGAGCAAGATGATTCTCACCTCTCTGAAAGGCGTAGACGCTATCTTTGTGTTGGCACGTCAGGACGACCACCGTCCATTGGAACTCGCCGCTGTCCGACATATTTCCTTCTGACGGAATATAACGTATTTAAACGCGATTAAACATCATAATTGAGACTGCAGCTACACAGGGAAGCTGTTTAACCTTCAGAGACAAGATGACTTCTGACAACAGATAACCACGGGCATCTCAGGCGGAGTTAACCGAGACGGGACCCGAGAAAAGTTAATCTAACCGACACTTAGCGGTTAAACCTTCTGTCGATGTTAAATCAGACATTAATAATAATCCAGTTAAACGCAATCCACACGGTAGGATCTGTTTTTCTGACTGCTCGAACCGTTACTTTAGCTTGGACCGTGCGAGCTTCCGTAAGACTGTTTGATTTTAACCTTTGGAACTCCTGATGAGGCGGTGCTAACGGATACAAGCTGTTGTTTAGCGGCAGGTAGCTGCTTCATGTAAAGTTTCATAAACGTTAAACATGTCTAAGAGGCTTTAAAAGTGGCCTCGGTGAAAGTTATTGATTCAGAAGTGATGATATCCTAACAAATACATCGGGATATTGATCGAGCTATCGGGTTTCTTCAGCTTCTCAGCGTAACTGCTATCATTACACAAAGATCGTATAAATAACAAGAGAATGACCCCCCCCCCCCCCCCCCCCCCCCTCTCTGGAGACATTGCTAAGAAAACTATATTTTTCTGCTTTTGTTCACAAACACATTATTTTGCTAAACGTCTTCACACATATGCACGTTGTTATTGTCATGTTTACACTGCCTTGGCAATGCTGTCATTATTGTCCTGCTAATCAATAAATATCAGAAAAACGAATATCTTTCGATTTTATTTATATATGAAATACATCTAAAATGTTATAAATATAGTAAAAGATCAAATAATGTATTTATTTAGTATGAGCGTTTAGTTTGTTATTTAAGGCAGTTGATATAAATACATTTTAATACAAATACTTTTAACCAGAAGCTGCCCGCCAGCGCCCCCTTCCGGCCGATCTGCGTAACTGCATGTATCACACAAAGATCGTATAAATACCAAGAGCATGACCCCCCCCCCCCCCCCTGGAACAAGACTGCTTAGAAAACACGTTTACTGCTTTTATTAAAATGTATGAATAATTGTTGTTATTGTCATTATTTGTTTACGGCTTTGGCAATACTTTATAGTCATACTAATAAATAATTATATTTTATTTAGTCTATAGTTGTAGCTTGATGTTAAATAAAAACAATGCTATGTTTCAGTTTATAGATCAAATAAAAACAACTAGTTTAGTTTTTAAAAACCATCACAGAAGAAAAAGTCGTTTTAAAAAAGATTTTAATGAACTATACAAAGTGAATCCATGAGGAAATTATATACAGATGTACATCGAACAAGGAGCAGATCCAAAGGCAGCAGAAAAGAAATGTATTCATTAATCGTCTTCAATCTTCCTCCTCCTCGTCGTCAGCGGGAAGCGGCCGGGACCTGAACAGGAAACACAAACACAACGTAAATAAACGGGTTATTCTGGAGGGGATCCGTCCAGACGGCAGCCCGCTTAGACACTACGGTGACAAGCTCCCAAAAAGAGACATTGGGCCTTTCTCATTTCTCGAACCGCCTTCTGCTTTCCCTCCTCTCTCCTTCTCCTCGACGCCTCTCTCCTCCTCGGTTCCACTCCTCGGCTCGCATCTCCTGTGGGCGGGACTAAGACACGAGGATAGGAGTCGAGGAGGGGAATTAGAGAAATGAGAAAGGGCCAGGGAGACGTCTCCTCGTCCACGGAAAGAAGGACTCTCCTCAAACGAAAACTAAGATTCAGATATTTGGCATTTTTCACGGCAACTTATTTGAAGAGTTTTCTTCTCAATCAAACGCATGTCGGCGTGATTTCAGGTCGTGCTTCTGCCGAGCGTCGCCCCGTCCTTCAGATATTTTAACGTCTTCAAACTTTTTTTTAAATGTACATTAAAACAAGTGGATGAAGAACACGCGTCACAACACGAGAACACATTTACATCATCAGTGGTGATTCTAGAGTGAGTGGGGGCCCTAGTCAAACATTCACCGGGGGCCCTAAGCAAATATTCACTGTGGGCCCTAGGCAAACATTCACCGGGGGCCCTAGGCAAACATTCACCGGGGGCCCTAGGCAAATATTCACCGGGGGCCCTAGGCAAATATTCACCGGGGGCCCTAGGCAAACATTCACCGGGGGCCCTAGGCAAATATTCACCGGGGGCCCTAGGCAAACATTCACCGGGGGCCCTAGGCAAATATTCACCGGGGGCCCTAGGCAAACATTCACCGGGGGCCCTAGGCAAACATTCACTGGGGGCCCTAGGCAAACATTCACCGGGGGCCCTAGGCAAACATTCACCGGGGGCCCCTCGAACCAGCTTTCATCGCCACGCACAGCCGACATGTCGTTGCAGTTACTTAAAGGGTGTTTCATGTTGTCGTTGCTGTGGACCTTCTTTGGGGCCCCCCTTCTGGTCCGGGGCCCCAAGCGGTTGCCTGCCTTGCCTGTTCGCAAGCGGCGCCCCTGAACACAATCACACAGATAGAAAAGCGTCCTGAGTCTCTATCGACTCCTGAGTGAAGGAGCCTTGGGGGGTTATAACTCTCTGAAACAGAGGGTCTCGATCACGCGTATATATTGCTCATAAGTAGAAATTAAAGAGTAGAAATAAACAATAATAGAATTTAAACATCTCAAAATAGAATTAAAACAACATTGAAAAGTAGAAAAAATACAGTTGATCTGAAAAGAGTATTATGGTATGGCCATGGCACACGTTGTTTTTGGCGCCACCATATGGTCGTTCGTAGCGATGACAGCCATGAGCGGTTGGCATGTTCTGATGTCTGATTGTGAGTTTATTGCATTTCTCTCCGTGTAGAATCTGACTTCACGTGTTCAACCTATGTTTGAAATAAATAGCAAACAGTCGTAGCCATTTAAAGTTACCGTTGAAATGCGTCGTGTGATTACTTAAGATGTGTTTGTGTCTTGAAGCAAATTGTGAAAACATCGTAGTTGTCCTTTTGTTTCAGTTTTACAAAAAAAAAGATATGATTGGATGGAAAGAGAAGACTCTCCTTCTGCCATGTTTGATATGCTATCTGCCAACATGTGGTTAGACAGAGCCGCCTCAGGGACAGAGTATTATGGGATGCACGTACTTCCTGCTGGCCTTGGACACCCCGCTGCCTCCGGCCTCCTCTCCGTCCTCCACCTCCACCGGCTTCAGGTTCTCCTTCTCCTCCGGCTTCAGGTCCTCCTCCTCCGGCTTCAGGTCCTCCTCCTCCTCCTCCGGCTTCCTCGGGGGTCCGCCGAAGAAATCTCCGATCCCCTTCTGCCAGTCCGGAGTGGGGCGAGGACACACGAGGTTTCCTCCGGCATACTTACCCTTAGCTGAGAGACAGAAAGCACAGAGAGTCAGAACTACATCTGCTGAGACAGCTGGTAAAGGTGGAGCTCGTATTCATTTATATATATTCATCTGGGACCCAAAGCATCTGAACTGCTAACATCTAATCAGAGATCAATAAAGTCAGACTGAAGCATCCTTTGTGCTCCAGTCCTCTCAGTAAACACGGAGCACCGTATGGTTAGTTTGTCACATATCGAGTGTGTGTGTGTGTGTGAGGTCGGACCGGGGGTCGCCGCCTGGCCGCTGCTCGACGACTGGTTTGCAGAACTCGCTCCAAAAGACTTCCGGGGTGCCGCCGCTGCAACAGCTGTAAACAAGAATAAAAACACAACAATGATGAGGATTTATAATACAAACATAAGAGAAACATGTGGGAGAAGTGGGTGGTGCAAAGGTAAGAGAGAAAGCAGAGTAGAGTTTAGATTTAAGGGCCAGAAAGTGATTCTAATTAATAAAAAGCACAAATATAAAAAGGAGGTGCAGGCAGGAGGGATATCAAAGTAAAGCATACGCAGATTTTTAATGTGAAAGTTCAAATAATTCACATATAAAATAAGCTTTTAGGAAGGTGTAAGAAGTTGCGGTGTGGAAATGAGCACCAGTCTTCATACATTTATCGACCCATTAAACGGATAATTAAAACGGATCTTAACACGCACTGATACATGAACCAAGTTTTTAAAGTGCATTTCCATCCACTAAAACAGCTAAACGTGGGGTGAACTGTGTGCCGAATTTACAACAACACCCCATGGGTTTGACAAACGTTGTTAAAAAAGTAAAGTCGCAGATCTGTCGGTGACAATAATCAAAAAGGTTTTAAATTATGTACTTTCTTCAAGGGGTTTGGTGTGACGTCACAAAGCTACGGCGGCGGCGCTAAAAACTGGCGCCAGTTTTATCAAAAGAGAAACGCTAACTTCTAGAAAAGATTCAGAAACATGTCATCCGCGCAGGAAGAACAACAATTACAATATAAAGAGGATTCTGTTGGTTTTGGTTGTTTATTATCGTTAAAATTATCTATTTTAGGAGGAAACAAGCACCCTTATGGCGGGAGGCTGTTATTATGGAGTGTAAACCCGCTATATATTACTACCCTGACATGTTAAAATATATGTTATGTAATAATAAGTCAATTATAAGTGAAGGCTAAGTCATTATTTTGTGTAAACAGTTCAAATGTCTCCGTTTGTTTTGAATTGTTCGTTTGGCGCGCTTCCGTCCCGCCAAACTACATACTACATACTCGCGCTAAAAACCACACTTTTTAAGGTATATCGGTAATAAATGTTATACGTTTTGCACTGTACCTTTCCTGTAGGCTGCGGGAACACTGTCGGCTTTAGTCCTCACCATGTTGGCTGCGACCTGTGGATCAGAGCAGGTTTCTAACGTCTCTCAGAAGAAAGTGTAAAGAGTCTTTGAATCACGGGGCGGAGAACGTCTTCTTCGGCTGCTGATATTCAGGCAGAGCAGAAGAGACGCAGCGGTGAGACGGTGCTTGCCCCCCTCAGGCCGACGGGTGTAACTACAGCTTTTAACCGTTCAGAATATCAAGCAGTATTTATAATATAAAATTAAAGTAACAACAAATAATTAAGTGTGATAAAGGGTAGATATCAGTAGTACATATAATGATATGTTTTCAAAATAACATACTGACTGTTGATATCAAATTATATAATGTACAAATGAATCTATTAAAATTATCATTAGTTATTCGTTAAAGAAACTACAGAAGTGACACCCTGCTTTAACACTGAAGCATGAGTAATAATAGCGTAATTATATCATATATACTCATATAAACTGGGACATTTTTTTACTGTTAACACTTTTTCCACTTGTTTGCGAAAAAAAATCTGAACAACAAGGTTTCAAAAAAAGCGTTTCCTGTATTTGGTCCCTCCCGGGTCTCCGTAGTGGCGGTATATATCGGCTGCTGGCGGATCCGAAAAACAAAGCAACTTCCAGCTTTAATTCACATCTAACGGTATGTCATTAACGTTAATACACAACGGGATTAAACGCATTAACCTCTCCCCGTAACTTACCGCGTGTTTCGGGCTGTTTACGGTGACTTTAACGGCTGTTTGTGTACTTTCTGGTGTTGTTTTGTTCTGTTGCTAACTAACTGCTAGCTGCTAGCGCTACTTAACTTTACCTGCTGTTTTTCATATTTTACAAATTATAGTCCCGTTTTTTTATGAAACGCAATCAAGTGAGCTGTCTGTTAATGTTTTTATACATTTATATAACTTTCCCAAAAAGATCAGCTGTTGATAGTTTTAGTAAACTGAAGCTAAACTGTCACAAAGAGTGGGGAGCAGTATCTAGATTCTTTATTTGAGTAACAGTACCACACTGAACATACTCGATTTCAAGTAACAATACTACATGGTACTTGTTTTTAGGGAAATGTACTTTAAGTATTAATACAAGCACAGTAAAAAGAGTAAAATTAGCTTCCAAAATGTAGTAAAGCAGAAGTATAAAGCAGCATAAAACTCACACACACACACACACACATACTGACACTCACACACACACAGTCACACACACACACACACACACACACTGTCACACACACATACTGACACTCACACTCACACACTCACTCAGTCACACACACACACTATCACACACACATACTGACACTCACACACACACGCACACACACTCACTCACTCACTCACTCACTCACACTGTCATATATACACACACACACACACACACACACACTCTCACTCACACACTCACACTCTCACTCACACACACACACACACACACACACTCTCACTCACACACTCACACTCTCACTCACACACACACACTCACACACTCACACTCTCACTCACACACTCACACTCTCACTCACTCACACACTCACACTCTCACTCACTCAGTCAAACACACGATTATTTGGGTCAATAATTGATATCACGATTATTAAATACGATTATTCATTGACTTTGAAAAAATCCATTTATTGAACTTTAAAACAAATACAAATAATAATTTGAACAGTATCTTTTTAACTGTTGATTACCCTGAACGTAAAATTCAACTGAAAAACCAATACAAAAATAAATTAAATAAATGATACATTTATATTTACATTTAAATAAATAATATCAAAATAATAAATACCAATAAACAAGATCAACAAATATTTTGGAGCGCACTTCAACAAGCTACTAAACATATATAAATATGATAAATACAAATAAATGAGACTAAAATGAATTAGATCAAATATGTTGCACTGTCACAACCTAGCAAAGCTAAATAATTGTTTTTTTCGATTATGTTGTTTTCGTAATTGTGGCAGGCCAAAATCGTAATTGCGATTAAAATACGATTAATTGCACAGCCCTAGTGTGTGCAGACGCTGCCATGGAGGAGGTGACCCGCCTGGTGTCCACAGGAGACTGTGTGAGGATCTGGGATGCCGGTTCGATGGCCCCTCTGGAGCAGTTTAACCCCCACAGCAGCGGACACCCGGTGAACCAGGCCTGCTGGAGCTCCAACAGTATCCTGAGAGCCAGAGACACGCCTCCATCACTGGGTGATACATATCAGAGGGGGGGGGGTACTCAGGTCTGGTACTTGAGTACAAGTAGAAGTACTCAGGTCTGGTACTTGAGTACAAGTAGAAGTACTCAGGTCTGGTACTTGAGTACAAGTAGAAGTACTCAGGTATTGTAGTAAAAGTAGAAGTACTCAGATCTTGTACTTGAGTAAAAGTAGAAGTACTCAGGTCTTGTACTTGAGTAAAAGTAGAAGTACTCAGATCGTGTACTTGAGTAAAAGTAGAAGTATTCAGATATTGTAGTAAAAGTAGAAGTACTCGGATCTTGTACTTGAGTAAAAGTAGGAGTACTCAGATCTTGTACTTGAGTCAAAGTAGAAGTACTCAGATCTTGTACTTGAGTAAAAGTAGAAGTACTCAGATCTTGTACTTGAGTAAAAGTAGAAGTATTCAGATATTGTAGTAAAAGTAGAAGTACTCAGATCTTGTACTTGAGTAAAAGTAGAAGTATTCAGATATTGTAGTAAAAGTAGAAGTACTCAGATCTTGTACTTGAGTAAAAGTAGAAGTACTCAGATCATGTACTTAGTAAAAGTAGAAGTATACAGATCTTGTACTTGAGTAAAAGTAGAAGTACTCAGATCTTGTACTTGAGTAAAAGTAGAAGTACTCAGGTCTTGTACTTGAGTAAAAGTAGAAGTACTCAGGTCTTGTACTTGAGTAACAGGAGAAGTACTCAGATCTTGTACTTGAGTAAAAGTAGAAGTACTCAGATCTTGTACTTGAGTAAAAGTAGAAGTACTCAGATCTTGTTCTTGAGTAAAAGTAGAAGTACCAGAGTGTAGGAATACTCTGTTACAGTAAAAGTCCTGCATTCAAAATGTTCCTCAAGTAAAAGTATTAAAGTATTCTCATCAAAATATAGTGAAAGTACAGTAAAAGTAGTCGTTGTGCAGATTGGTCCATTTCAGAATAATATATATGATATGTTTTATAATGATTGATCATGAAAGTGTTCTCAAAGCTGGTAAAGGTGCAGCTAGTTTGAATGACTTTGTATACTGCAGGGTAGCTTGTGGATTTACTCCAGGTGGAACTAAAGTCTGATTTAACACTTGGTTACATTTCACATCATTCATCCACATCTGTGAAGTAACTAAAGGTATTAAATACATGTAGTGGAGGAAAAGTACACAGTTTACCTCTGAACTGTAGAGGAGTAGAAGTACACCATGTACCTCTGAACTGTAGAGGAGTAGAAGTACACCATGTACCTCTGAACTGTAGAGGAGTAGAAGTACACCATGTACCTCTGAACTGTAGTGGAGTAGAAGTACACCATGTACCTCTGAACTGTAGAGGAGTAGAAGTACACCATGTACCTCTGAACTGTAGTGGAGTAGAAGTACACCATGTACCTCTGAACTGTAGAGGAGTAGAAGTACACCATGTACCTCTGAACTGTAGTGGGGTAGAAGTACACCATGTACCTCTGAACTGTAGAGGAGTAGAAGTACACCATGTACCTCTGAACTGTAGTGGGGTAGAAGTACACCATGTACCTCTGAACTGTAGTGGAGTAGAAGTACACCATGTACCTCTGAACTGTAGTGGAGTAGAAGTACACCATGTACCTCTGAACTGTAGTAGAAGTACACCATGTACCTCTGAACTGTAGAGGAGTAGAAGTACACCATGTACCTCTGAACTGTAGTAGAAGTACACAGGTAACTGATATCCTGAGTGAATCCATGCTGGTTGTACGTCCTGAGCAGAGTTCAGATCATTACCTGGTGAGTGCCAGCAGCAGCGGAGACAAGCTGGTGGTCTGCAGCCTGAAGACCTCTCCAGTCCCAGTGGTGGAGCTGGGAGACGGGGTGAGTCAGTCTCTCTCTCTCTCTCTCTCTCTGTCTCTGTCTCTGTCTCTGTCTCTGTCTCTGTCTCACACACACACACTCACAGAGAATCTGAACTGTTACCATCTAATGGAGATCAATAAAGTCAGCCTGAAGCATCCTCTGTGCTCCAGTCAATCTCTCACGCCCCTTTCACACCAACGCGTTTCCGGCTCGGAGCTGGAAAAGTACTGTTTTTTCCTGTTCACACCTCAGCGGCGCGGCCTCTAAGCTCCAGAATCCGGTTCACTTCCAGCTCCAAAAAATTGTCGGTCTAGAAGCAGGACTCCGGAGCTAAGAGGCGGCGTCGCTTACGTCTCTCTACGAGGCGTGCAGGAAACTAAACCCACCTCCCCTGAACATGGGTCGACTGAAGAGTCTCGTCACGCCTGCCTACAAGCAGTAGTGCTGAGCAAAGTGACTAGAAGGCAACCACACACTTGTAAAGAAACCACACTTTATAAAGTCAGGCAACACTAACCAGGCTTCGTGTGATTCTGTTTATTTGTACCTTACTTTGACCATCCGTTCGCTGTTATTGATCATTGTGGAGAGCAGGCAGACGTTTTGTTTGTTATTATAGCAGCTATCGGATGGAATCAATACATGGGCTGCACAGGTTGTCATGTCCGACTATCACAAGTAGAATCATAATGAAAAATACGCCGGTAAAATGTGCCTGTAGAAAACGGCTTAGCAAGTAGTCAGTTTAGCTTCGGTTGCTATGCTAACATCACCCATGTTATACCAGAGAAACTGCAAGGAGCATTTCAGACTTGAGCTGCTCAGTAAAGTACGATGGTGTCTCTCTGCAGAAGAAGCAGACGTGCGTCTCTCTCAGCTCCTCGTCTCAGTTCCTGGCGAGCGGAGGCCTCGATCACTGCGTTCACATCTGGGACCTGAAGAGCAAGAGACTGCACCGCTCGCTCAGGGTGAGAGACACACACACACACACACACACACACACTCACACTCACACTCACACTCACACACATGTGCAACCTATTTTTGCAATTGTTTTTGATTTATTACTCATGTGTTTACATTTCCTGCCTCCTCTATTTCAACCAATGAAACGTTATTTAAAAGGCTCTTTGCACACACACACACACTCTCTCTCTCCTCTCAGGACCATAAGGAGGAGGTGACCTGCGTCTCCTTTAACTCCAACGACAGCCTGGTGGCGTCGGGCTCCAGCAGTGGAGACCTGGTTCTGCACAGCCTCACCACCAACCTGTCCAGCAAGGCCTTCGGACACGGCAGCAACCAGGTGAGGACATCACCTTTAAAGGTCTCCTATCATGCAGAATGCACTTTCTGATGTCTTCTCTACATCACCACGTGTCCCCGGTATGTCCCCGGTGTGTCCCCGGTATGTCCCCGGTGTGTCCCCGGTGTGTCCCCGGTGTGTCAGGAGACTCACAAAGTGTCAGAAATAAACCCCTCTCTCTTTTCCTCCGTACCCACATCTCTAAAAACGGGGGAACCACGGAGCTGATCCAGATTTGCTGCGTCATGACCACATGACTAAAATGTGGGCGGGCTTTACACCCACGGGCCAATCAGAAACATAGCTGTCAGAAACAATGAGACGTGTTCTGGACGTAATATGGTCTGTGTTTACATTAGCATGCTAACACTCAGAGCTAACCTGTACTGGAGAGAGCATGTGTGAAGAAGCAGGAAATCAAAAGGAAGTCACCTTGTGGTAAACCTGAGAGAGAGAAAGAGTTTGAGCTCCATACTGTTTCAGAGAGAATCCTTGATGTGGTTTGGAACATGATATGGAGTTTCAGAGAGAATCCTTGATGTGGTTTGGAACAGGATATGGAGTTTCAGAGAGAATCCTTCATGTGGTTTGGAACATGATATGGAGTTTCAGAGAGAATCCTTCATGTGGTTTGGAACAGGATATGGAGTTTCAGAGAGAATCCTTCATGTGGTTTGGAACATGATATGGAGTTCTGTAGTACAATGTACACATCACTCCCTAACTGTATTTGTACTGTATTCTTTCTTGCCAGCCGATCCACGCGCTGCGCCTGTCCCCCCTGCGGCGCTCCCTGCTGGGCAGCGTGTCGGACAGCGGCTCAGTGGTGCTGTGGGACTCGAACACGCAGAAGGAGCTGCACGCCTTCGACGGCGCCCACAAAGCGCCCGGCTCCGGCCTCGCCTTCTCCCCCTCCAGCGAGCTGCTGGTGGTCAGCGTGGGGCTGGACAAGAAGGTCCTGTGCTACGACACGGCCAGCAAGATGTGAGTCACATTCATCTATACAGAGGACACAAGTACACATAGCCAGAGAGGGACAAGTACACATACCCAGAGAGGGACAAGTACACATACCCAGAGAGGGACAAGTACATATACCCAGAGAGGGACAAGTACACATACCCAGAGAGGGACAAGTACACATAGCCAGAGAGGGACAAGTACACATAGCCAGAGAGGGACAAGTACATATAGCCAGAGAGGACACAAGTACACATACCCAGAGAGGGACAAGTACACATAGCCAGAGAGGAACAAGTACATATAGCCAGAGAGGACACAAGTACACATACCCAGAGAGGGACAAGTACACATAGCCAGAGAGGGACAAGTACACATAGCCAGAGAGGGACAAGTACACATAGCCAGAGAGGGACAAGTACACATAGCTAGAGAGGGACAAGTACATATACCCAGAGAGGGACAAGTACACATAGCCAGAGAGGGACAAGTACACATAGCCAGAGAGGGACAAGTACACATAGCTAGAGAGGGACAAGTACATATACCCAGAGAGGGACAAGTACACATAGCCAGAGAGGGACAAGTACACATAGCCAGAGAGGGACAAGTACACATACCCAGAGAGGGACAAGTACACATAGCCAGAGAGGGACAAGTACACATACCCAGAGAGGGAACAAGTACACATAGCCAGAGAGGGACAAGTACACATAGCCAGAGAGGGACAAGTACACATAGCCAGAGAGGGACAAGTACACATAGCTAGAGAGGGACAAGTACATATACCCAGAGAGGGACAAGTACACATAGCCAGAGAGGGACAAGTACACATAGCCAGAGAGGGACAAGTACACATAGCCAGAGAGGGACAAGTACACATAGCCAGAGAGGGACAAGTACACATAGCCAGAGAGGGACAAGTACACATAGCCAGAGAGGGACAAGTACACATACCCAGAGAGGGACAAGTACACATAGCCAGAGAGGGACAAGTACACATAGCCAGAGAGGACACAAGTACATATACCCAGAGAGGGACAAGTACACATAGCCAGAGAGGACACAAGTACACATAGCCAGAGAGAACACAAGTACATATAGCCAGAGAGGACACAAGTACACATAGCCAGAGAGAGACAAGTACATATAGCCAGAGAGGGACAAGTACACATAGCCAGAGAGGGACAAGTACACATAGCCAGAGAGGGACAAGTACATATAGCCAGAGAGGGACAAGTACACATACCCAGAGAGGGACAAGTACACATAGCCAGAGAGGGACAAGTACACATAGCCAGAGAGGACACAAGTACATATACCCAGAGAGGACACAAGTACACATAGCCAGAGAGGACACAAGTACACATAGCCAGAGAGAACACAAGTACATATAGCCAGAGAGGACACAAGTACACATAGCCAGAGAGAGACAAGTACATATAGCCAGAGAGGGACAAGTACACATAGCCAGAGAGGGACAAGTACACATAGCCAGAGAGGGACAAGTACATATAGCCAGAGAGGACACAAGTACACATAGCCAGAGAGGGAACAAGTACATATACCCAGAGAGGGAACAAGTACATATACCCAGAGAGGGACAAGTACACATACCCAGAGAGGGACAAGTACACATACCCAGAGAGGAACAAGTACACATACCCAGAGAGGGACAAGTACACATAGCCAGAGAGGGACAAGTACACATAGCCAGAGAGGGACAAGTACACATAGCCAGAGAGGGACAAGTACACATAGCCAGAGAGGGACAAGTACACATAGCCAGAGAGGGACAAGTACACATAGCCAGAGAGGACACAAGTACATATACCCAGAGAGGGACAAGTACACATAGCCAGAGAGGACACAAGTACATATACCCAGAGAGGGACAAGTACACATAGCCAGAGAGGACACAAGTACACATAGCCAGAGAGGACACAAGTACACATAGCCAGAGAGAACACAAGTACATATAGCCAGAGAGGACACAAGTACACATAGCCAGAGAGAGACAAGTACATATAGCCAGAGAGGGACAAGTACACATAGCCAGAGAGGGACAAGTACACATAGCCAGAGAGGGACAAGTACATATAGCCAGAGAGGACACAAGTACACATAGCCAGAGAGGGAACAAGTACATATACCCAGAGAGGGAACAAGTACATATACCCAGAGAGGGACAAGTACATATACCCAGAGAGGGACAAGTACACATACCCAGAGAGGAACAAGTACACATACCCAGAGAGGAACAAGTACATATACCCAGAGAGGGAACAAGTACATATACCCAGAGAGGGACAAGTACATATACCCAGAGAGGGACAAGTACATATACCCAGAGAGGGACAAGTACATATACCCAGAGAGGGACAAGTACACATACCCAGAGAGGGACAAGTACATATACCCAGAGAGGGACAAGTACACATAGCCAGAGAGGACACAAGTACACATAGCCAGAGAGGGACAAGTACATATACCCAGAGAGGGACAAGTACACATACCCAGAGAGGGACAAGTACACATACCCAGAGAGGGACAAGTACACATACCCAGAGAGGGACAAGTACATATACCCAGAGAGGGACAAGTACACATAGCCAGAGAGGACACAAGTACATATACCCAGAGAGGGACAAGTACACATAGCCAGAGAGGACACAAGTACACATAGCCAGAGAGGGACAAGTACACATACCCAGAGAGGGACAAGTACACATACCCAGAGAGGGACAAGTACATATACCCAGAGAGGGACAAGTACACATACCCAGAGAGGGACAAGTACATATACCCAGAGAGGGAACAAGTACATATACCCAGAGAGGGACAAGTACACATACCCAGAGAGGGAACAAGTACATATACCCAGAGAGGGAACAAGTACACATACCCAGAGAGGAACAAGTACACATACCCAGAGAGGAACAAGTACACATACCCAGAGAGGGAACAAGTACACATACCCAGAGAGGGACAAGTACATATACCCAGAGAGGGACAAGTACATATACCCAGAGAGGGACAAGTACACATACCCAGAGAGGAACAAGTACACATACCCAGAGAGGAACAAGTACACATACCCAGAGAGGGAACAAGTACACATACCCAGAGAGGGACAAGTACATATACCCAGAGAGGGACAAGTACATATACCCAGAGAGGGACAAGTACACATACCCAGAGAGGGACAAGTACACATACCCAGAGAGGGACAAGTACATATACCCAGAGAGGGACAAGTACATATACCCAGAGAGGGACAAGTACATATACCCAGAGAGGGACAAGTACACATACCCAGAGAGGGACAAGTACACATACCCAGAGAGGGAACAAGTACATATACCCAGAGAGGGAACAAGTACATATACCCAGAGAGGGACAAGTACATATACCCAGAGAGGGACAAGTACATATACCCAGAGAGGGAACAAGTACATATACCCAGAGAGGGACAAGTACACATACCTATACCTGTTCGAAATAATAATAAATAAATCAAATAAACAACCCACCTAAATATGTGTCCCCTGTGTGTCAGAGAACTCACAAAGTGTCAGAACTTTAACCCTAACTACGTTTTTAAATCAGAATCTGAGTGTTGACCCTGTTAAATGCTCCGTGTCCCTGCAGCGTGCTGAGGTCCATCCGGGTGGACAGCCCCCTCACGGCGGTAGACTTCTCTCCGGACGGCACGGGGCTGGTGGTGGGCTCCACGCAGGGGAAGATCCTCCACTACGACCTGAGGAACTCCAGCGCCCCCACCAGAGTCACCGCCGCGCACAAAACCTCCGTCACCTGCCTCCGCTTCCAGAGCAGCAGCAGCAGACTCAAGGTACCTCCTGCAGACACACCGCTCATCACAACCTCATCCACACCTGGGCTGCAGATATGTGACTGATATATTTAGCATTACATCATGAGTCAGTGAACTTGAAGTCAAGTGGTACTTTTTAAATGTTGGCCATGAGGGTTGTGCAATAGGTCGCCATTGTCAGTATGTGCGTCTGTGTATTGTGTTGGTTCAAACGGTGTATGACTGATGATATGTGTATGTCTCTTAATGTCCACTATGTTTGTATATGTATATGTACATGTATGCACTGCAGGACGGAGTCCAGAACAAATTTCCTTACGGGGACAATAAAGTATATCGTATCGTATCGTAACTTGAGCTCACTGCCTTTTAGAGAAAGGGTCCGATATTTACTTTTTTAAAATCCATTCACTTCCTTTTCTGTCTCTCTTGCAGCCGTCCAGTAGACTCGGATCCACGAAGATCGTGAAGAGGTCGTCGTCCAGCAGCCAGCCTGACTCCGCCCCCAGCACAGGCCCTGCCCCCAGCACAGGCCCTGCCCCCAGCACAGGCCCTGCCCCCAGCACAGGCCCCGCCCCCCACAGGCAGGTGACAGGTACAGGTGAGCTCCTCCTATTGGTCACATCTCACACACACCATAATGGCTGCAGTGTCTTTCGCTCCTCTCCAACTCAGCTGCTGAGCACGTGATGATGAAGCCTTGAGTCTTGAATGAAAAAAATAAGTTGATCCTCAGATAAATAACCTGCAATGATTGAACATATGTGTGTCCAGCAGGCGGCGCTGCAGCGGAGGTTCTGACCCGCGAGGAGCCGCTTCCTGTCGGGGAGAAGTTCAGCAAGGTGGGCCGGAACAGCCTCGACATGTTCTCTCCGGCCCGGGAAGGTAACGCAGGTTTAAAGAAACTCTGTTCTTTATATGTGTTTGAAAAATATCTCTCGTCCCCGGCTTGAGCTTCAATCTCAGGATCCATGTATTGGTGGTCCTGTGTGTGTGTGTGTGTGTGTGTGTGTGTGTGTGTGTGATCAAGTTGAACTCTCTCTCTCTCCGTGGTTCTGCAGACCCTCGTTTCCCCGGGACGTCCGGAGACACGCCGTTCAGCCGGACTCATGGTACGAGACTATAATAATATCTGAACCTGAACAGAACATGTCCTCTTTAAAGACGCTCACTGTTCTCTGTGTTGCAGTCCCCAGCCTGGAGGCGCAGCACGTGGTGGGCCGCGCCAGCCTGGACATCTTCTCCCCCGTCAGAGAAGGTCTGTTTCTATTATACAGTTACTGTTCTACCGGGTGAAGATACTCAAGTACAAGTACACAAGTGAAGATACTCAAGTACAAGTACACAAGTAGAAGTACACAAGTAGAAGTACACAAGTGAAGATACTCAAGTACAAGTACACAAGTGAAGATACTCAAGTAGAAGATACTCGAGTAGAAGTACACAAGTGAAGATACTCAAGTGAAGATACTCGAGTAGAAGTACACGAGTGAGTAACGCTTTGCTTTGTGAACGTGTTGCAGACTCTCAGTCCCTGGTTCACCGTAAGACTCCTCTGGGGACGCCTCTGACCGCCGGGCGCTGCTACAGCCCGCTGTCCACCTTCCAAACCCCCCTCCCCATCAAAGAGGAGGAGCCAATCACTGCCGCCGCTGAGTCATGTGACCCCGGGAGGGTGAGTCCTGCTGATGACGTTTTAATTAAAAAGTGTGTGTGTGTGTGTGTGTGTGTGTGTGTGTGTGTGTGTGTGTGTGTGTGTGTGTGTGTGTGTGTGTGTGTGTGTGTGTGTGTGTGTGTGTGTGTGTGTGTGTGTGTGTGTGTGTGTGTGTGTGTGTGTGTGTGTGTGTATGTGTGTGTGTGTGTGTGTGTGTGTGTGTGTGTGTGTGTGTGTGTGTGTGTGTGTGTGTGTGTGTGTGTGTGTGTGTGTGTGTGTGTGTGTGTGTGTGTGTGTGTGTGTGTGTGTGTGTGGTGTGTGTGTGTGTGTGTGTGTGTGTGTGTGTGTGTGTGTGTGTGTGTGTGTGTGTGTGTGTGTGTGTGTGTGTGGTCACAAACATGAGCTGTGTTTTGATTGACAGCTGGAGAAGGGGAGCAGCTCCAGTCTGGAGGGGGAGGGGCCGACCCTGCCCACTTCCCCTCAGCTGACCAATCACAGCCAGCCAGCCCCGCCCTTCTTCACCCCAGATCTCAGGAGAGCCAATGGAATTCAAGCTCAGCTGAACTACGAGTCACCTGCACAGGGAGCCCCGCCCACTGCAGCAGGTAGACACACACACACACACACACACACACACACACACACACACACTTAATAGGCTTGTTTGAGATGAGCTGCGGCTCGCCTCGAAAGTAGACGAGAATAGCCGATTGCTCCCGGGGGGGGGGTCTCAAAAAGTCGGACAGGTCTTGACTCGGTTTGCAATGGTGGAAGTTGCGTTGGCGTTCTTCGTTGCAGATGAAGTGGATGCAATAGAAATCCCACAATTATTATATCACTACTAATGAATGACTCAAGTGTTCATTTTAAAACAAATCAATACAAGGGGGGTTGAATCCTACATTACAAAGACAGAGCCACTTTTCAAAACTACTTCCGTCAGTGGTCTTGACTCGGTTTGCATTTATAAAGAATGCACAAATGTGTATAATCGTTAATGTCAGATATGTACTCAGTAAATACATTTGTTCCTGCTCAAGATTAGATTCAACTTTATTGTTATTGCACAGATTACAGGAGACAACGAAATGCAGTTTAGCTTCTAACCAGGAGTGCAACAAGCAGTAAAGTGAAAAGTAATGTACACAATCTACAGAATAAAATATAGAATGAATTGAATGATGAAAAAACAGTGAGGGGTATGAATACACTATATACACAGCAGCCTGTGAGCAGTGTGAGCAGTATGAACAGTGTGTATGAACACACTAGATATACAGCAGCCTGTGAGCAGTATGAACAGTGTGTATGAATACACTAGATACACACAGCAGCCTATGAGCAGTATGAACAGTGTGTATGAATACACTAGATATACACAGTAGCCTATGAGCAGTATGAACAGTGTGTATGAATACACTAGATATACACAGTAGCCTATGAGCAGTATGAACAGTGTGTATGAATACACTAGATATACACAGTAGCCTGTGAACAGTATGAACAGTGTGTATGAATACACTAGATATACACAGTAGCCTATGAGCAGTATGAACAGTGTGTATGAATACACTAGATATACACAGTAGCCTATGAGCAGTATGAACAGTGTGTATGAATACACTAGATATACACAGCAGCCTGTGAGTAGTATGAACAGTGTGTATAAATACACTAGATATACACAGTAGCCTGTGAGCAGTATGAACAGTGTGTATGAATATGCTAAGATATATAAAGTATGAAAAAGGTAAGCAGTGCAAGTATAGTATAACATATAGATATTAATTTCATGATGATAAACATTGTGGAACAATGATGAAAAATGTGAATGGAAGTGACGACGTAAAACTGACACAAAACAACAACAAACGTTTGCGGAGCCAATTGGAGAGTTTCATCAGCAGCACGGGGTAAAACCCACCAATGAGCGCTCAGCTCGAGATACCAGGGAGTCGTTTCCCATCAAGCATTTCACTTCTGCAGCTCGTGGAGAGAAACTGCGCGCCTCGCTCTCAAGGCTGCCGGCGTCTTTGTCCCGCGAGATTTCAACGTCTCATGCAGTCGAGCCTCCAGAGCAAGTCGGACAAAATGACTAACCATCATGCAACGCACGAGCAAGACGGCGGTCGCAATTGCGCAGGTCTGTGTCGGTCTCGCTCATCTCAAACGAGCCTATACACACACACATACACTGTCATGTGACCGTGCTGTAGTTCCTTTATAGCCCAACATTAGCCTCCTTTAGCTTAGCGGTGGTGACGTGAAGTCATGTGACCGTGCTGTAGTTCCTTTATAGCCCAACATTAGCCACCTTTAGCTTAGCGGTGGTGACGTGAAGTCATGTGACCGTGCTGTAGTTCCTTTATAGCCCAACATTAGCCACCTTTAGCTTAGCGGTGGTGACGTGAAGTCATGTGACCGTGCTGTAGTTCCTTTATAGCCCAACATTAGCCACCTTTAGCTTAGCGGTGGTGACGTGAAGTCATGTGACCGTGCTGTAGTTCCTTTATAGCCCAACATTAGCCACCTTTAGCTTAGCGGTGGTGACGTGAAGTCATGTGACCGTGCTGTAGTTCCTTTATAGCCCAACATTAGCCACCTTTAGCTTAGCGGTGGTGACGTGAAGTCATGTGACCGTGCTGTAGTTCCTTTATAGCCCAACATTAGCCACCTTTAGCTTAGCGGTGGTGACGTGAAGTCATGTGACCGTGCTGTAGTTCCTTTATAGCCCAACATTAGCCACCTTTAGCTTAGCGGTGGTGACGTGAAGTCATGTGACCGTGCTGTAGTTCCTTTACAGCCCAACATCAGCCTCCTTCATGGTGTTCTCTCTCTCCTTCATGGTGTTCTCTCTCTCCTTCAGCAGCCTCCCTCTCCTCCTCCCTCTCCCAGAACATCATGGAGGTGGTCGGTCAGGGAGCAGCTGCTCCTCTCTCCTCCCTTCAGATCCACTTCATCCAGAACATGATCCATGAAACTCTGGAGGACTTCAGGTGAACCCTCAACCTTTAACTCCTTCTTTGAAAAGGCTTCAACACTTCATATTAACTAAAGTAATTCACATTTAACCCAGATCTGACATTAAATGTGTATAATAAATATATGGAAGTAAAAATGCTATAATGATGATACGAGAAGAAGCACAGGTTAAATATCAATAACAAGGAAGTTAATATAATCTTCCTCCTCCTCCTCCTCCTCCTCCTCCTCCTCAGAGATGTGTGTCACAGAGACATCGTGAATCTCCAGGTTGAGATGGTGCGGCAGTTCTACATCCAGCTGGTACGACCTTTTCTCTTTGTGCTCCTTGTTGTGAGGGAGGGTGATGATCGATCTGTGAACAGACCTAAATCCAGAGTGGGAGGAGTATTCAGATGCTTCGAGTAAAAGTACCAATACCTTAGTGTACAAATACTTCATTTTAAGTCAAAGTATTATCAGCGTAAAAGTGCAAAAAATGCAGGTAGATGGATATCCAACTATAAATATGCCGTAAGAGCTTGAGCACCAGGAAAAGCGCTATGTAAATGTATTATTGTTGTTGTTATTATTATTCAACCAGTGAAACCCAACTATTCTTAAACCCGTCACGATGAAGTCTCACAACAGATGTCAGTTCCTCCATTACACAATCAAAACAGTCTGTCACCATGTCCTCGTCAGGATGAATACACTTTGATCTGTCTGTTTGAGGACTTGTTCAAAGACTTGTTTAAAGACTTGTTTAAAGACTTGTTCACTTGTTCAAAGACTTGTTCAAAGACTTGTTTAAAGACTTGTTCAAACACTTGTTTAAAGACTTCTTGTTCAAAGACTACTTGTTTAAAGACTTCTTGTTCAAAGACTTGTTTAAAGACTTGTTCAATCACTTGTTCAAACACTTGTTCAAACACTTGTTCAAAGACTTCTTGTTCAAAGACTTGTTTAAAGACTTGTTCAAACACTTGTTCAAAGACTTGTTCAAAGACTTGTTCAAACACTTGTTTAAAGACTTGTTCAAAGACTTGTTCAAAGACTTGTTCAGAGACTGGTTCGAAGACTTGTTCAAAGACTTGTTCAGAGACTGGTTCGAAGACTTGTTCAAAGACTTGTTCAGAGACTGGTTCAAAGACTTGTTCAAAGACTTGTTCAGAGACTGGTTCGAAGACTTGTTTAAAGACTTGTTCAAAGACTTGTTCAAAGACTTGTTCAAAGACTTGTTCAGAGACTGGTTCAAAGACTTGTTCAAAGACTTGTTCAAAGACTTGTTCAAAGACTTGTTTAAAGACTTGTTCAAAGACTTGTTCAAAGGCTTGTTCAGGACTTGTTCAAAGACTTGTTCAAAGACTTTTTCAAAGACTTGTTCAAAGGCTTGTTCAGGACTTGTTCAAAGACTTGTTCAAAGGCTTGTTCAGGACTTGTTCAAAGACTTGTTCAAAGACTTGTTTAAAGACTTGTTCAAAGACTTGTTCAAAGGCTTGTTCAGGACTTGTTCAAAGACTTGTTCAAAGACTTGTTCAAAGATTTGTTTAAAGACTTGTTCAAACACTTGTTTAAAGACTTGTTCAAAGACTTGTTCACTTGTTCAAAGACTTGTTCAAAGACTTGTTCACTTGTTCAAAGACTTGTTCAAAGGCTTGTTCAGGACTTGTTCAAAGACTTGTTCAAAGACTTGTTCAAAGATTTGTTTAAAGACTTGTTCAAACACTTGTTTAAAGACTTGTTCAAAGACTTGTTCACTTGTTCAAAGACTTGTTCACTTGTTCAAAGACTTGTTGTTCAAAGACTTGTTCAAAGACTTGTTTAAAGACTTGTTCAAAGACTTGTTCAAAGACTTGTTTAAAGACTTGTTCAAAGACTTGTTCAAAGACTTGTTCAAAGACTTGTTCACTTGTTCAAAGACTTGTTCAAAGACTTGTTCAAAGACTTGTTCACTTGTTCAAAGACTTGTTCAAAGACTTGTTCAAAGACTTGTTTAAAGACTTGTTTAAAGACTTGTTCAAAGACTTGTTTAAAGACTTGTTCAAAGACTTGTTTAAAGACTTGTTCAAAGACTTGTTTAAGACTTGTTCACTTGTTCAAAGACTTGTCAAAGACTTGTTTAAGACTTGTTCGAAGACTTGTTCGAAGACTTGTTCACTTGTTCGAAGACTTGTTCAAAGACTTTGTTCACTTGTTCAAAGACTTGTTCAAAGACTGTTTAAAGACTGTTCAAAGACTTGTTCAAAGACTTGTTCACTTGTTCAAAGCCTTGTTCAAAGACTTGTTCACTTGTTCCAAAGACTTGTTCAAAGGACTTGTTCACTTGTTCAAGACTTGTTCAAAGACTTGTTCAAAGACTTGTTTAAAGACTTGTTCAAAGCTGTAAGACTTGTTCAAAGCTTGTTCACTTGTTCAAAGACTTGTTCAAAGACTTGTTCATCTTGTTCAAAGACTTGTTCAAAGACTTGTTCACTTGTTCAAAGACTTGTTCAAAGACTTGTTCAAGACTGTTCAAAGACTTGTTCACTGTTCCAAAGACTTGTTCAAAGACTTGTTAAAGACTTGTTCAAAGACTTGTTCAAAGACTTGTTAAAGACTTGTTCAAAGACTTGTTCACTTGTTCAAAGACTTGTTTAAAGACTTGTTCACTTGTTCAAAGACTTGTTCAAAGACTTGTTCAAAGACTTGTTCACTTGTTCAAAGACTTGTTCAAAGACTTGTTTCACTTGTTCAAAGACTTGTTCAAAAGACTTGTTCACTTGTTCAAAGACTTGTTCAAAGACTTGTTTAAAGACTTGTTTAAAGACTTGTTCAAAGACTTGTTCAAAGACTGTTCAAGGCTTGTTCAGGGACTTGTTCAAAGACTGTTTCAGGACTTGTTCAAAGACTTGTTCAAAGACTTGTTCAAAGACTTGTTTCACTTGTTCAAGACTTGTTCAAAGACTGTTCACTTGTTCAAAGACTTGTTCAAAGACTTGTTCAAAGACTTGTTCACTTGTTCAAAGACTTTGTTCAAGACTTGTTTATGAAGACTTGTTTAAAGACTTGTTTAAAGACTTGTTCAAAGACTTGTTCAAAGACTTGTTCAAAGGCTTGTTCAGGACTTGTTCAAAGACTTGTTCAGGACTTGTTCAAAGACTTGTTCAAAGACTTGTTTAAAGACTTGTTCAAAGGCTTGTTCAGGACTTGTTCAAACACTTGTTCAAAGACTTGTTCAAAGACTTGTTCAAAGACTTGTTCAAAGGCTTGTTCAGGACTTGTTCAAAGACTTGTTCAAAGACTTGTTTAAAGACTTGTTCAAAGACTTGTTTAAAGACTTGTTCAAAGACTTGTTCAAAGGCTTGTTCAGGACTTGTTCAAAGACTTGTTCAAAGACTTGTTCAAAGATTTGTTTAAAGACTTGTTCAAACACTTGTTTAAAGACTTGTTCAAAGACTTGTTCACTTGTTCAAAGACTTGTTCACTTGTTCAAAGACTTGTTCAAAGACTTGTTCACTTGTTCAAAGACTTGTTCAAAGACTTGTTTAAAGACTTGTTCAAAGACTTGTTTAAAGACTTGTTCAAAGACTTGTTTAAAGACTTGTTCACTTGTTCAAAGACTTGTTCAAAGACTTGTTAAAGACTTGTTCGAAGACTTGTTCGAAGACTTGTTCGAAGACTTGTTCAAAGACTTGTTCACTTGTTCAAAGACTTGTTCACTTGTTCAAAGACTTGTTTAAAGACTTGTTCAAAGACTTGTTCAAAGACTTGTTCACTATTCAAAGACTTGTTCAAAGACTTGTTCACTTGTTCAAAGACTTGTTCAAAGACTTGTTCAAAGACTGTTCAAGACTTGTTCACTTGTTCAAAGACTTGTTCAAAGACTTGTTCAAGACTTGTTCACTTGTTCAAAGACTTGTTCAAAGACTTGTTTAAAGACTTGTTCAAAGACTTGTTCAAAGACTTGTTTAAAGACTTGTTCAAAGACTTGTTCACTTGTTCAAAGACTTGTTCAAAGACTTGTTTAAAGACTTGTTCACTTGTTCAAAGACTTGTTCAAAGACTTGTTTAAAGACTTGTTCAAAGACTTGTTCAAAGACTTGTTTAAAGACTTGTTCAAAGACTTGTTCACTTGTTCAAAGACTTGTTCAAAGACTTGTTTAAAGACTTGTTCACTTGTTCAAAGACTTGTTCAAAGACTTGTTCAAAGACTTGTTCACTTGTTCAAAGACTTGTTCAAAGACTTGTTCACTTGTTCAAAGACTTGTTCACTTGTTCAAAGACTTGTTCAAAGACTTGTTTAAAGACTTGTTTAAAGACTTGTTCAAAGACTTGTTCAAAGACTTGTTCAAAGGCTTGTTCAGGACTTGTTCAAAGACTTGTTCAGGACTTGTTCAAAGACTTGTTCAAAGACTTGTTCAAAGACTTGTTCACTTGTTCAAAGACTTGTTCAAAGACTTGTTCACTTGTTCAAAGACTTGTTCAAATACTTGTTCAAAGACTTGTTCACTTGTTCAAAGACTTGTTCAAAGACTTGTTTAAAGACTTGTTTAAAGACTTGTTCAAAGACTTGTTCAAAGGCTTGTTCAGGACTTGTTCAAAGACTTGTTCAGGACTTGTTCAAAGACTTGTTCAAAGACTTGTTCAAAGACTTGTTCAAAGACTTGTTTAAAGACTTGTTCAAAGACTTGTTCAAAGGCTTGTTCAGGACTTGTTCAAAGACTTGTTCAAAGACTTGTTTAAAGACTTGTTCGAAGACTTGTTTAAAGACTTGTTCAAAGACTTGTTCAAAGGCTTGTTCAGGACTTGTTCAAAGACTTGTTCAAAGACTTGTTCAAAGATTTGTTTAAAGACTTGTTCAAACACTTGTTTAAAGACTTGTTCAAAGACTTGTTCACTTGTTCAAAGACTTGTTCAAAGACTTGTTCACTTGTTCAAAGACTTGTTCAAAGGCTTGTTCAGGACTTGTTCAAAGACTTGTTCAAAGATTTGTTTAAAGACTTGTTCAAACACTTGTTTAAAGACTTGTTCAAAGACTTGTTCACTTGTTCAAAGACTTGTTCACTTGTTCAAAGACTTGTTGTTCAAAGACTTGTTCAAAGACTTGTTTAAAGACTTGTTCAAAGACTTGTTCAAAGACTTGTTTAAAGACTTGTTCAAAGACTTGTTCAAAGACTTGTTCAAAGACTTGTTCACTTGTTCAAAGACTTGTTCAAAGACTTGTTCAAAGACTTGTTCACTTGTTCAAAGACTTGTTCAAAGACTTGTTCAAAGACTTGTTTAAAGACTTGTTTAAAGACTTGTTCAAAGACTTGTTTAAAGACTTGTTCAAAGACTTGTTT